TAATTGCCGTTAATAATCAGTCTCTTCAGAGGACCTAAAAGTTTTTCGACTTATCAATTAATAAGCATGCCAATTAAATGCAAGTATCTACTTTTTGTATATAATTAGATAAGTCAAAATTTTCAATTAAAAATTGTTATTAAAATTACAGATTTCATTAATACACAATTTAATATCAATCTTGTTAATTAATTACAACTGGCAATACGTCGTCATTGTTTTAAATATGCATATAACTACGTTTGTTTTATGCACATTTTTAATAATATCTACTAATGTCTAACGACAAATATTGCATATTATCAAACAAAATTTTATCGGATATGCAACTCTTTTCAAAGTCGCAATAGATCTTTTTTCACAACACTGATATTTACTTATCTCATTCACTCTTTTCGACATATTTGCGTTTTAAATACCAATCAAATATATCTGTTAACATTAAATACTTTATAAAGGTGTCACCATAACTTTGAAAAAGTCAAAAGAACACAATAACATCTTATTTTCTCTTGAAAAATATTTATCTAAAATATATATATTTTTCTATTTTTGGAAATTTTTGAATATTAACAACCACAGCAGCACATCTCATATATTAATATATTATAATATATTATTATAATATTGAGGTTGACATTTTCTTTAACCAAAAACCGGCATGTAATTTGAATGTTCCTTTATTAATTAAAACATGTTTTGACCATTAAATTTTTGAACGTTGTGTCTTTTTTAATTAAAATATCAACCACAATTATAAATTATCTACTAGCGATTAAATATTATTTACTGTTATTATAATATACTATAATATATTATTTTTAATTTGTCTTCAATTAAAATACTGTTGACAATATTCGCCTAACACATCTTTTTAATTTACGCGTAATTATAGATGAAAATATTTAGAACCGGTCTCAAAAAATTCGGCAAAAATAATTACGAACACATAATGGCTGAAACGTACTCGTACCGATCTCTCTATATTTCGTGCTGACGTGAAGTTGCTTTCTCGGGGTTTCTTCAAATTTCGAAATGATTATGCTGGCCGTATTAACTTGAGTAACACTCGAAAAGAGTGGCGGTCGCTATAAGGAGGAACTTTCCATTTCTTTCTTAGCGTGAAAAATATCACGCAATTTCGGCAATTAAATGTTAAGGTAATCTGCTCGCGAAACTTCGACCTTCGATATAGAAACCGTAATTTCGATGCATCTGCGCAAAGGCCGTTCTACAATGGAGTATCGTAGGTCGTCGTAAAAAACTGATCTATCACAATTGATTATTTTTGAAATAATCGACTGTGGTTTGTCAATTTCTTACGACTACGGCCTACGGCACTACATTGTAGAACGGCCATAAGAGTGCAAATGAACTAAGACTATACGAATTCAAAAATCACGGCCCGACAGATTGCAATGATTGCCACCGTCTCAGATTGCAATTCTGCTGTATGCAATAATCAACAAATTTTTGCTCGTATAATTCAATTGTGGGATAACAATTACACTAACAAATATTATTCGCTGCTGAATAAGCCCTTTTCGGGATTATTTCTGAAATTATACGGCGACAACAACTCGTTTGCCGCGCGGATAATGATAGAGCAGTACGACACGTATGAGCAATACAAAGTAGAGAGGAAAATAATGATTACTCCTTCCGCATTGCCGAACAGTCCGAGAAGAGAAAAGTGCTTCACCGCTTCACGTTACCGCAAAATGAGCCGGACACGATGATTTGACATTTTTTCGAAACATCTAATATATAATTCAAAAATTCCAAAATAACCCACACAGCACGAAGTCGACTGTTAGATGACTGTTAGTCGGCGGAAAAAGCCTAAAGTCGACTTTAAAATTAGACTGAATGTCAACTTATAGTCGACTAACAGACGATAAATATCCTGATTATAGTCGACTCTCAATCAGCCAGTGTAGACACTTCTTAGTCGATTTTTAGTCGATTAATCGTCTATTATTTTAGCAACTAAGTCGACTTTTAGTCAATGCTATGGCTATTACAAGTCAATTTTTAGTCGAGTGTAAAAAAATGTCATGTATATTTATAATCAAATTTTATAGTGATTACATTTCTCAAAAACTTAATGGATTTAATTTTATTATTCTTTAATTGTATAATATTATACAATAAAAGTAAATAAGAAAAGAAGAAAATTTTGTGAGAGCGCCAGTAAATATAATCACAAGGATGAAAATCTTTGAAAAAATTGTAGACGACCAAACTGGGCAAAAAATATATTAATTTATTAGATCTTTCTCATTACGTTTCAACCTTTGGTTCAGGATCTTATCAAATAAAAAATTTGTTCATTTGATAAGGACCTAAACCCCCCAAAGGTCGAAACGTAATAAGGAAGATCTAATAAATTAATATATTTTTGCCCAGTTTGGCCGTCTACAATTTTTTCAATAAAAGTAAATATAACAGAATTAAAGCGCGCGATCAAGTTTTTGAGGAATGTCATTACTATAAAATTTGGTAATATAAATATATTAAATAACATTAAATTGACTATTAATGACTTTGCAAATGACTTTTTTTTATATCATTGTTTTCATATTGTAATCTTCGAAATCAATCATATAATTCTTTTTCAATAAAGAATAAACATTTTTACACGTAGTCATTTCCTTAAGTTGATCTATATGAATTTAGCTATTCATGTGAAATAATTCCTGATTTTGAACATTGTAGAAAGAGCTTTTATCAAAAATGTCTAAGTTGACTTACAATCAACAGTTAAGTCAACAAAATTCCAGCCTAGAAATAGTCGGCTTACAGTAGAGAGTTAAAGTCAACAATAAGTCAGCCTGGAAATAGTTGACTTAAAAAGTCGACTTCAAGTATACTGAGAAAAGTTGACATGCTGTGTGGGAATGTGCATATTTGAAATTATTCGAAATTATATCCAAATTATAGAAATATCGTACAAGATCCGTAGAAATATCGTAAAAATTTTAAAAAGAGACCCAAATAGAGGATCGAAACGTAACTACAGAATAAAGTTTGTTATCACTGGCCAGTTCGTCGTTAATTAATCTCACTAACCTTGAGCTTATCATCACTGGCGTTAGAGTCATTTTATTGACTAAAAAAGAAAAATGTAAAAAAAGAAAAAAATTTTTTTTTTTTTACAAAAGTTCATTATTTATTGAAATAAAACTTTAAGCTATTGAATGTTGAATGTAGCTCGTTCAATGTATATGCATATCAAATCCATTAACATTTCCGCAACGGCAATAAAAAACGCAATAAAAATATTATCTACAACCATAATTTCGTTAATATCACACTGATAATATGTTTTTGTGTCAATTTTGAGTTACAGATAATAAGAATATTGCATTTGAAAAAATAAATGAATTATCACTAATATATCGCTGTATATCACGCAGAGAGCCATTAAAAGATAAACTGGGTGAAAAGTCGTCTTATATGAATTGTGTTATGTATTATCAAAAAGTCATGGCAAGGCAGGCGTCAATGAATGATGAAAAAAAAATAAATCATCTTATTCTATCTAACTATACTGAATATGCAATATCAATTCATATGATAATTTATTGTAAAAAACTGCAAATCTAGAATTTCTTTTTCTCTCTCTATTAATTTTAAATTTTTAATAAATAATAAAAACTGCAAATTTCTATATTAAAACGCTATATAATTTGTAAATTCAAAGAATTTCTAAAAGTTTTTTCTAATTCTGTGAATGATACAATATATATCGGAACATTAAACTTGCTAATCTGAGCATTTGAAATCGCGGACATATCTATTCTTCAAGGATTCGTATCCGATCGCTTCTAAGTGGTGCATGAGAAATCGGTTAGTGTGTAAGCTCCGCGACTGCATCCGTTAACATTAAGTAATACGTTTACTTTTAATATGCATGTTAATATAATCAATCTTTTACGGACGATATATCACAAGGAACCTTTTTTTTGCAAGGAAGATCTCTCGATGTATCACGCGTAATTGTGGTGGCTAATTTATCCTTCCTCTATGAGCTTAAGTGTGTCAAGATACATATATCCAGGTCAGAAATATTGACCGCTATTTCATATGTTATAGTCCGAAGATTTACGAATCCCATTTAAAACAAGTAATAAATATGCGATAACTCGTATGTACATAACATTAGTATTTTTTTATATATTTCAACAAATTTGTCATTGTATATATTTTTCTATAGAATCTATTCTCAAAGTTTAAGTAATTTATAAATATTTTTTTATAGATAATTTGTTTTAATTCTAAATTATTTTTTCTCTATATATATTTTCAAAAATGTATTTCAAAACATTTTAAAAGTGTTTAAGTTTTAATTTTAAGAACACTTATTTTTTAAGAACTTTATTTCCCTTAAAATATACACGTAAAATTTATAAATATTACATTTTAATAGACTAATTAAAAACAAATAAGAAAAAAACTTTACTGGAATGATGTGAGACTCGCTAAAACAAACCGGTAGAAATCGGCCGATTTAATCGTAAATATGCTGATTGCACGCAGCATATAATAGCGAGATTTGCACGCACGAATGATACCGGTATCTCTGAAGAAAAAATACGCTCGATAAATGTCACCGTGCATAAATAATTTGTTCCTGTAAATCTTTGGAATATTATCATAAAATTGTTTGAAAGTAAAAATTCCTATTTGTTCATTCTTATCTAATTTGTTTTATTTTATTTTAATAATTAAAAAATTTATTAACACAGTTATTTCTTTCTCTTTCTTTTCAATATTTTTTATTATCATTTTATTAACAATTTTTTATTGGCAAAATAAAATTTAAAAAAATTGGGCGACGAAACAAAATAAATGTTCATTATGACTCTTTCACACTTGTTTCTCGCAGGTCACTTTTCTTTCCCGATGCACATTTCCCGATGCATGCATTACGCGACCGTGTTCTTGGGCTACATTCTTCGCCGCTTTCAGATGACAAATTATTCATATTTACTTACGTAATGCCGACTCAGCCGTCGTCCTCGTCGTCGTCGTCGTCGTTTTCATCGTCGTTTTCGTCGTCGTCGTCGTCGTCGTCGACGGCGTCGTCGTTGGACGTTCCTTGCGTGAGCGCACAGCCGGGTTCATTAACTGACCAGTAAAATCCCTCTTTATGTAACTCACAACAAGCTCCCCGAGAAAGAGAGTGGGAAGAGCGGCGAAAGAGACACCGGGCAAGTTTTCTCTATCCTGCTGTCGGGTGTGACTTATGCGTTTTGACCTCGTCTGGATCTCTGATATCTTCGATCTTCGCCGAACCTCATGGTCAATTATCAGAAGCCAACAAATGTCAAATCGTCATAGATTTGTACCTGTCTCTGTCGTCTACCTTTCTCGACACGGTGACTTTGTCAGATCGCAAGATACCAAAAGATTGATCGATTGATATACATGTATCTGTCGATTTGTTCGAGCACAATTTGACAATGAATAACTCGCGATGATCGTAATATACCTCGTTCAGTCACTTTTCGTCGATGGTCACAAATTTCATCTCTTATCTTTACTGTCTCCAGTAAAAATGAAGCGTTCATCAATAGCCAGTGTCGATCACAGTAAAAAGTCGCAATCACTTGGGGCGCGAAGATCACTCGCTGAGTCCTTGCGAATAATTCCTGGCGAACGATCGCGAGCCCCTTTTTAATTCTCGAGTCGGTGTATAATAGGGAAGGAAAAGAAGGAAAAGATGGAGAGAGAGAGAGAAAAAAAAAGAAAGACAGAGAGAAAAATAGAATAGTGGATAATCTGTCGAAGGAAAAAAATGAGATAAGATACAGAAAGAGAGGAAGAGGAAAGAGGACAGAGATGGGGAAAAAGATGAACGAAGGAGAAGAGATCGAGAGAGGAGACGGCCCGACGTAATGTTCGGATGCACGCGCGCGGTCCACGATCTGTCGAATAGCGAGCGAGGAGATAGTGCGATGTGGTACCACCGCTAGTGGAGACCACCAGGTGCCCACCAGGTACCCACCGAGTGCCCATCGAATCGGTTGGTGGTAGGGAAAGAGAGCCGAGCATAAGCTCGGACAGTGAGCGAGTGCGAATTGCCGATATTGGCTTCGCCGATTTCACGAAAAGACGGCTTCGACGATGCATTTAACACTTTGCACGTTTGTCGAGAGATAACTCGATGCGATTTTCATAACGACTCTTCGTGAACAATTTTTTATCGCGCATTCAAGCGAGCGAATATCTCTAATATTATCTATTATATGTGGCTTACACATTAATTCGCACATTGATCAAAATTAATCGGATTAGAAATAAATCAAGAAATAACCATCCCGTTTTAATAATTAAATTATTATTATTTCTCTATTTTATAATGTCCCTTAGCTAGCAAATTGACGTCATTAAAAATACAAATCATTAAACATCAAAACGTCAAAATGATGTTATTTTGACGTCAATGACGTCAGTTTGCTACCTATGGGATATTTAGCAAATTAGATTGAACACTCCCTCATGAAGATTTATCTCCATATATCTATTATATTATCCCTCTACGTCAATTTAAATTAACACATTAATTTATTGACTAAATATCTTTTTTATATCAGTGTGTATGTATATGTGTATATGTATTAAATTTAATCTTCTTTTTAAATTAAATATAATATAAATTTTATTAATATTATATAATTTAAAGTAATACTTTAATTGATTAAAAATTTAATCTTTTATGTAAATTGAATATATGATATATATTTAACTTAAAAAGATGGATACATTTCATCAATTAAAGTATTAATTCAAATTATATAATTTAATTTATACAATTATAAAATATATAATTATATAATTTAAATTATAACATACACAATGATAATACAATAGATAAAATATATAATTCTTATGAAAGAGCGTTCGCCAATTTGATCTAATGAAGAAAATAAATCATAAATATATAAGGAAATGATATTTTAATTATTGAAACGGTACATGTACATATAGCGTGCAAAAATGAAGAATTCCACTATGCGTGACGTGGAATGGTTTTTTCCTTAAGTTTGTGATTCGTTTATTTTGAACTACCGTGCGTGCTGCTATGTATACTTAATTGGTCGTTGCAGTTATTGCTACTTTTGCTATTTCGTCTTCAGCGATAGATCCGGCGGTGTTCGCTGCGTGCGTGAGTATTTTGCTGCATGCAACACAAAATAAACGAATCACAATAATAATTTGTGTATCTTAACTCTTCCTTTCGCTGCACTTTATATCTATGCATAATGAAATCAATCAAGTTTCTCCGGTGCAGCGATTATTCCTACGGAATGATACCAGTTGCATCAAATATACAAAAAAGCGGAAGTGAAACATGTTTCGTATACTACAAACTTCTGAGAAGTACGATTATTATAGTTTTCAGAAAAGGATTAAAATGACTAGACTACTGCCGTGTGTTTCTTTACCACGGGTCCTAGGACTCGTTCGAGGATTCCCCTAGGATTAAGGACCGTCGAGCGGAAACCGCAAGAATGCAAACTGAAGGTGAAGAAACATCGGATGCTGTTGTAATCACATTAAATATTACGTTACAGATTGAGAATTATACCGTGTCACGTTCAACACATCAAACGAGCAAAGAGTACGGGTCAAAGTTTTGTTCGGTTATTCAACGTCGCACCTAGGGGTGTACCAGGAAAAGCTTAAATAGGCATATATGTATTTCATACTTCCGCAAATACACGATAAAGGACATATATGCAAACGTCATTGTGCGCAACAAACAAACGTACACATGCAATGATGAATTAATAAGGTCATAAAACAAGTCGTGTTATAATTTATTGAATCTCTGCAAAACAGTTTATTAAAAAAAATTATAGATCAATAATTATATTCTCTTGAAACTGCGATTACACTTATGACGATTTTCTTGGGAAGAAGATTATTAACAGCTAAAAACATTATAATTGAAGAGATGTTTGACTTTGGAATCTTAGCTATTATAAAATTAATTTTTTGTAGTGATGATTACACATACAGATTTATTAACAATTATAATCAAAGAGAGAACAAGATCCAACTCATTCAATAATTACGAGGAATGCGCGCACTAGTAAACGAATAAGTGATGCTCAGCTAAAATAAATAATTAATCACATTAAACGCTTAGTTATATAATTTAATGATATTTCGATGATGTTTTAATGATATTTTAATAATAAATTGGTTGTGCAAAATCACGAAGGTACATCTTATTTGAAGCGTCGCATCACTGAAACGATTTTATGTTATATATTTTTCTTTTCAATATCGACGTCATAAATTAGTTTCCATGGAAATTCAAGGTAACAGTAGAAGAATGATATTACGCACTGAATAATAACAATAGTTCATAAATCTATTCTTTTTGTATTAAATGCTCGACTCATAAATAATTTAATTTTATTACGTAAAAAACAGCGTTGTTTTGCCACATCAATAAAAGTTGATCTATATCGTTGCAAAAACCATGAATAAAATTATCTTGTCGTTATATATTAATCCTACATAAATAAATAAAAAAATTATAATGCCAATTAATCTCTCAAATATTTTGTAATCGCACTAATCGATGATTGCACAGATAATTACTTAATTTGTATATATTATTTTTTAAAATCTCCAAAATATTATATCACATTTTAATAATAAATGGTAATTGTAATTTATAGATTTAATTAAGCAAAAACAAATTTAATTAAACAAAATCTAAGATCAAGAATTTAATATTTAAATTTAAAGTAAATTTTTCTATATATATATATATATATATATATATATATATATTTAAATTTAAAAAATAGAAATTAAGTAGTGCAATTATATTAGAACATTGTAATAATATTTGATATTGCATTATTTAGATGATTTTCTAGGATAATTTAAATATATATATTAAACATTTTTATAATTATAAAACTCATTATATTTTGATTCTGTATACTAAATAATTAATAATTATTTAAGACAAAGTTATCAGATATTACTGAATCCTCTGTGTGACACACAATTAATTTATTTAATATATTAAATATTATATATATATATATATATATATATATATATGTTGTATTATCAATATATTAAATATATGTAATTTCATGTTTCTTTCATTTTATTTTTAAATAATTCAGTATTTTCTTATTTTCTACTTCATTCTGGTAACACTTTAAAAGTTATTCAATTTAGGATATTAATTGTAATCAATTATATATATTATATATTTCGCCAAATTAAATCAGAATTACATATTTTTCAAAATTATTTGTACATTTATAAAAAAACGTTCTAATAATTATATATGCATCTTTTACGTTTATTCGTTTGTTCATTATAAAATGAATATAAATTCATGTTATGTTTAATTCGTTTTATTAGCATTATTCATTTTATATATTTATGTTTATATTCATTTTATATAATTATGTTTGATCCGTAATATTTATTCGCATGACGTGTAAGAAAAATAGAATTTTTTATATCAATAAACAATTATAAATTTTTATAAAGTTTTTTTACAAGCATACTTTTTTATATAACCACTTCTTGAGCAATAATGGAGAAAAAATTATATTACAAGTCATATTGTTACACTATTATACACTTTGATAACTCCTGCTCTATTTTTTCTCTTAAATTTAACGAGATATTTATAATGCTGAGTGCATAATAGCGTAATAAATATATATATATATATATATATATTATATATATATATATATATATAATTCTTTATACAAATCTTCTTTTAAATAAATTTACTTCAATTCCCTCTCCGTCAAAAATCTTTTTCTTAAGATTAAGAGGCTAAATTTTACGCGCAGTTAATAATTGATATAACCTTTCATCAAATAATGCTAATTTCAGTGACGGCGTTCGAATTAAGAAGTTATAGCAAAGTTATTATACACATTTCTTTATTACTTACCAATTAATAACTTGTATACCAATTAATAACTAACACTTGTTGCTCGAAATTCTTGAAGCTAACAGCTAATGCTAACTAATTCGCTGCTACTGCGGGAAATCGATATATATCGCTAATGATATAAATCGTTCTATATCGATAAAATACAGTTCGATCGATAGTAAAGACTATAGAGACTTCTCGCGGAGAATCGTGAACTACGGATTCGTTCATTTTTGCAGCCACAATAAAAGAAAAATCATATCGCGCGCGCGCGATACATTTTTTCTATATTAATGATAAATTTCATCAATTTATAATCTATAATTAATATTGATAGTGTAAAATACCTCCCTCCTTCTAGCTTTTATGATATACTTCCACTTCCAGTTTGAATTTGAATATCTCGAATATATCCAGAGAGAAACCTGAAAGCGGCCACCGAGATTCAGCAGCCGCGTGTACTAACGCGCCCTCTGACAAAGTGAACATAAACTACGTCGCGACACTCGGTAAAAAGCGCGGGTAAATGGTTCGATTCCGTGATATGGTTCATGTCCGAACTATTTAGCCAAGAACCACATCTAGATATTTATACATCATGACTGTACAGAGGAATCGACTAATCATGTGCGTTTATCTCTGATTGGCCCTTCGCCCTTACATATGACGTATGACGTATGAAGTGCGAGAGTCAGCGTACGCGTGTCTCTTTCATCAGTACATAACCTTCTACATTCCCGTTCGTGTTCATGCATCGGATTCTTTGCCATCGATATTAGCAACAAGCAGCTGATAGTGATAAACAGTCACAATATGTCTGTTTACGATAAAATTTGTCATTATCAACGTAATTTAGAGAAATGCGGTGATAATGAGGATCGAGTACGTATATGATATCGAATAGCGATATTAAAACATTGGTTGTCCGATAATTCATGTCAATAGTTAACCAAATCACAAATACATTATAACCTCAGTGTCCTGTAGCTGTGGATTATAGGAAAAAAAAATGTCGATATTATTTTTACAAAACTTTTTCTTGATCTAAAAATTGCTGTTACATTGTGCGTTTTTTTTTACATTCCATATTAGATAAGATAATTTGAAATACTTGTAAAATTTTAATGCATAAAAGATGCTTTTTAATTATTATTATTATTAATTTGATATAGCCGTAATTAGAAATTGTTTTCAATTTTTGTTAAGAAAAATTAAGTTGTCTTTGAAATTTTACTACATTTTGAGTACATAACTTATAATATCTCAATAACAATTTTTTTATATACAATTATTTTCAGATATTACATTGTATTTCAAAGTTGTATAGTCTACCAGTGACAGTACAGCATCTTCAAGATACAGGTGTAGGCAGGACTGTGAATAGTTTCAGAAAGTACGATGGTAGTGTAGGTGATGCTTCTAAGGCTTTAGTTTGCAAATGGAAAAGAATGGTAGCAGATGAAGCAAGTAGTGATGGAGAAGATGAAAAGATGAAACTGTGTACTTGATATTCACGAAGTTAGCACTGATAATGAAGATTTACCAAAGTTAGAGAATGTAAACAGAATAGTTCTTCGTATGATGAAGCATCAAACTCAAAACATGTGCATAAGGGAAACAAAAATGAGCCATCTACAGAACACAATACAATGCAATCATCCAAGTTAAAATCAGAGGAAAAGCATGAAAAAAGTGGACATTCTTCCAAACATTTACAGAGTGAAAGAAGTCTAAGGAATCGACAAACAATGATAAATCGAAAAAAAACAGTGACAAGATGGCTGAAATTAAAGAAGACAACAGAAAAAGAAAAATAGATAATTTGAATTCCTCAACAGAAGAAAGCAAGAAAAGAAAGTTATTAAATAACAAAATTGATGATGAAAAATCTCAGTTATCAATTTCAGAAAAGAATTATTCCCATTCAAAATCTTCTGTAATTGAGGTAAAAAGTAAATAAAAGATGAGCAGTCTTTAGCAAATAATAAAAACAAGGAAGATGATAAACAGAAAAAGCATTCGCAGGAAAAATCCAGGAGCAGTTCTAATAAGTTTAAATCTGATGAATCAAACAGTAAATCAAAGGAAAATAGTGAGAAACAAAAATATAAAACAAAAGAACATACAAGTCATAATAAACATGATAAAAAAAAGGATTCCAGTCATCATTCTAGCAAGGAAAGTTCCAAATCAAGAGTCAGTTCCTCTAGCAATAAGGATCATGTTAAGAGTAAAGATGGGGACAAGAAAAAAGAGCACAAAGAGGACAAGAATAAATATGAGAAGAAGAAGAAACGAAGATTAGATTAATGCAGGAAATAAAAGGCAATGAAGGAATAGATTGCAATTCTGGTGTGTTGAAGATATAATTGTACTAATTATTAATTTACTTATATTATGCTAAATTTTATTATGTTAAAAATTATGAATTTTTTTGCATTTTTTTAATTTGATTCTATACACATAAAAATGTTTTAGGACAATGTGCTAAACGAAGCAAATTATTCAATTTTTTTTTTTGGTTTTTATTTCAAATCTTATTTTTAATTGCATAAATGGAGATTATGATTTCAATTAAACTTTGAATTTCAAATTTCATTAATAATATAATAATATATGATTTTTATATATGTATATATACACATGTGTAGATATATTATATATGTACACATATACATATATCTACACATAAAAATATATTATAATATACAATTAATATATTATGTAATGTAATAGTTATAGATATATTATATATGTACTACATATAATATGTAATATATATATATATAATATATAATGATTAATTATTATTTTTTAATAGAAATAAATTTGCTTCATATTATTTAGAGGGTGTTAGCTTTCCAATAATTATATATTTTTATATAAAATCTATGCATCTAAAAAGTACTACTTTCAAAATTTATATTAAATAAATAATATATAATTGTGATGAGCATGTGTTCAATTCTTAACTATGATCTATAAATCTTATATACACAAAAAAATTTAATTATAGATTATCTAAAAATAACTAATCAAGAACAGAATTATGTTTCCTAACTCTATTTTTTCATAGTTAAATTTATTACTTGAAACATTTCATATATTTGTGTATGACAATTTTCTATTTAACAAACAAAAGATTAAACTTCTATTTTAGAAGTTCATAGTATATATTTTATATGATTTATGTATTTATACTATAAAATTACAAAAAA